TTGGGATCCCTCCCTTAGACTTAATGAAATCTATAGCTGACCTGTACTTATCTAGCAGCTCTTCTCTCTACCCTTCCCAATATCATTTCCACCAGCACTGAGACAGATAATGGGCTTGCTCCCATTACCTGACATGATATTATCCAGCCTGTTGACAATGTCCCCAACACCAGCTCCAGGGAAGCACACTCTATCTCTCATCTTCTTATTCCTATTACAAAAAGCACGGTCAATGTATCTTACCTGAGAGTCACCAACCACAAGAATGCGCTTACCTCCATTAGCAGGGGCAGTAGTACCCTTACCTTTACTGGCCACTGAAGTACATTCATCCTGAAGAACAGAGAAGCGATTTCCTACCTTCAGATCTTCACTCTTAACTTTCCTTACTCTGATGCGCCTTCCATTACTGTGAACTACTCGCCACTTGTAGCAGGTGCTGGGCTGCACCTCACTGCTGGTAGCCGTTGCTGCCTCCCCAACTACAGCCTCCTCACAGCGAGAGACAGACTGCACCTCGCTGCTAGAAGCCTCATTCCCCACAACTCCAGCCACCTCACACTCTCTCCCAGACCCATTGAGGTGGACCTTCAGCCTCCTAATCTCCTCCTGGAGAAGCAAGACCTCCTCCTTCAACTCTCCAACCTCAATTTTTAAAACACTGCAGAAGCAAGCCATGCTTTGTAACCGTCCACACTAATCCCCAAGGCAGCTCAGGGCCTGTGACCTCACGTGACGACTGACCACTGAGGAGACATTTCTCTCGCCAGGCACTGTATCAGTCCAGTACAGAGAACCAACTTACGGAGTATGTGTAGTGGAATTATAGATCAGGTGTTGCATACCCGGGGTTAAGGGCTCGGTGATGGCTTATGTCCGGTTGGGACAGGATGAGTATAGTGATAACACACACTTCCCGCCCAGCCATGCAACTCGGCAGGCAACACCTGACATGCCCTGGTGGTAGGAAGGTTTTAATAAATGCCATTATACCTCATTTGTCATATACGTGACGCTGTTAATTACCATTCACAACCAAGGAATTTATAATTGGTATTACCATTGTTGTTGGTATTATTATTAATTTCATTGAGTTGGACTAATTGTGTAATGATCATAACAGCACTTGGCGAATGGGAGGCAATTAAATTTTATCCATAACAGCGAATGGTAGCTCAAATTTCTGGGATAAAAAACTCTTGACTCGCATCAAGACACTTCTCTTGAGGGGAAACTTTTCAGTTTATGAGTTTATGGATAGCTTTAAAAATAGGTTGGACAGGTAATTGAGTGATAGTGCTTGAGTGAGTAGAACCTGCCTGGCTTGGGGCAGTGGGCCTAATGTAGCGGCCCTCTGTTCTTGTTTTCTATGTGCTCATGTTTAGCAAGCAACACTAGTATGGAAGAACAACTAAGACTCGATCCAAAAGAGTAAAGATAAGGTGTTGGCCTTTAAGCGGCAAGTCAAGTGGAACTGGAGTGTGTGGAGGCGGGCGGGCGCTCTGTTGGCACCGACCCTTCTCCCAGGGGCAAGTTATTTTTATTTTCATGTTTTTCTTCTAAGAAAACATAGTTGATGGTCGTCACTGAGCACAGGGTTCACTTCATTTATTACACTGAGCTGAACCTGGGTGATGCTGCATAGAGAAGTTATTGGTAGAGCGAAGTTGATGTTGACGCTGGTGTGTTGGGTAGCTCTCTCGTCACGCCTCTGGCTCATGTAAAACCTGGTAATCTCCTAATGTAGAGGAGGAGCTCTGCTCGCGCTGCCTTCTTCACTTGGTCCGTCGACCCCCCTCCCTCTGTTGTTTCTCGTTGCACCCACCACCTCCTGTAGTGTGTGGTTGCAGGGGGTCAATTCTCAGCTCATGGCCATGCTTCTCGACTGGCCGTTACTGGCTTCATACACTCCTGGCTTCATGAGCCTTCATACCTGTTCTTAATGTTAGGTGTGGATCTTGACTACCATTTTCAGTATTTTGTACGTCGTTATAGTATCTCCTTGGTCCTTCTCTCTGATGTCATCAGATTTAGCTCGTCTCTTCTCAGAGCACATAACCTTGAGCCCTGGAACTATTCATCACAAACCTCTACAGTTTTATTACTTTCTTGAGATGCTGTATCAGGTGTGTGCTCCATACTGGTGCTGCATATCCCAATATGTGCCTGACATATAATACCTTATGTAACGTAGGGAATAACTTTGTTGAGATTCTTGAAAATTAATCTTAGATTTGCCAGAGGTGCATTTGCTGCGGAGGTTATTCGGCTGGTGTGCACATGTCAGATGTACATAGTTCACTAAGAGTAATAAGTAACACTACTTTTAGGAGAGGAAATAGAACTCGTGACTCAGCTGGAAGGGCCCAGGTTAAACCTCAGAGAGAGAAGGGACGTATATGCAAATGTCTTACCTCTTTTGCCCTTTGTTTACTAAAGTGCAAAAAATGCCAAGAATTCAGCCAGCTATTAGAGCTTAAGACTTAAAAAAAAAAAAAACGGATTCAATACTCCAGTGTTATCCTCAATTATTAACACCCCCATAGTTAAAAAGCCAAAGAGACGTCTTGATCCTGTACCATATAATCGGTTTTCCAACCAAGACCGACAGCGTTCACAACTAACCCGCACGTAGGAGGCTAAAACTTATGACGACTTTTTGGTCGGACTTGGACCATTGAGTAGTCCAGTCACGGTGTTGCCATTTTTTTTTATTCTTTGTAAGTCTGAAAGCAGTGTTTATATGCACATTTCCACTTAAAACCAAATACAGTTTGTGGAGTAGGTGAGCGTGGAACTTAAGGTGGTAGCCTTTCTGCCACCTTGTTATTAAGACCCCGTCCCACGCAAGGCACGGCTTGTAATGATCAAGCATGCCACGCCTTCACTGTGACTTAACATGTTCATGCCTCAACATGCTGCTCTACTCACTCGTTGCGTGCCACCACTGTATGGGGCATCAGGCACGCTCCAGGAGCCCTTGACAGATGCTGCTGCTGTTAGTTTGCTTGTCAAGAGAACTAGGAAAATTCCGGCTTGGCTCTGCAGCAGGCCTGTGCTGCTGCCACTCACTGGCTTGTGCTAGGCCACTCTCACGGTGGATCTTTTGTTCACTTGATCGTGGCATTTCACAAGTAACTTGAGTGGAGCCTTAAGTTTCAGCCCATTCTAGATCATTATCAATTCATTACTAAGCGAGAAAAAGCAGAAAAGAGCAGAATACAGGCCGAGAAAAGAAAAAAAACTAAATAGTGGCTGATGGAGTACTTGTGGAAACATTAGTAATAGTGGAAGTGGAAATATCAGTAGTAATAATGGTTGTAGTCGTAGTAGAAATAGTAGTAAGGGTAAATTACATCTTAGAGCTGTGGAGAAGCAAGTGTCTCAACCCTCGAACAGACGTCCACAAAGGCACAAATAAAGAAAGAGCACTACTGTAGGTCTGTTGGCCAGTGCTAAGTAGGAAAGCAGACGCAGATAAGGAGAAAGTGAAAATACAGGAAAAACAAAATACAAACTATAGGTCAAGGGGAAGATGAGGCAAAGCTCAGGTCATGCCACTAGTGTTCTAAAGATTAGAATGTGACTGTCTATTGAGGCAGGCAGGCATCTATATAAGCGAAACCGGGATTTAATGGTTTATGAAACCGATAAGTAAAAGGAATAAGACACGTGTGTAACGTCTCCACACTAAAGACACCCTAGAGTTGCACACACGTCCTGTTAGCAGTGTTGTCTGTAAGATCCAATTCAACCAGACGGCATCTGTGAAGGCTAGAATAAGTTGATAGTTTTAGCAAAGAACCGGTTTATGGGCTGACTGTGACTTCTGAATATGACAGAAAAGGGCGTTAATGTCAGTAAGGCGAACGCTTTATTGGTGGTGTTCAGGTGTGTCAGAAAGAGAGCGGCCAGTTTCATCAAGGTATTGGAGGAGACTGAAACACCAGTGACACAAGTGTCAAACTATTGTACATTACTACATTTACCCGTCTTAATATTTCTATTACTATTGCCACTGCCCACCATTATTACTAATTTTATTATTACTACTACCACTGCTAGTACTATTACTACTACTACCACTGCTAGTACTATTACTACTACTACCACTGCTAGTACTATTACTACTACTACCACTGCTAGTACTATTACTACCACTGCTAGTACTATTACTACTACTACCACCACTACTTAATAATGATGAAGGACTGACCGATACGTCGTCGTAAGCTTGCTGTTTTTACTATGGAATATTTGTGAATTTCAGTCACCCATTTTTTTTATTTATTCATGAGCCAGGCCTTCCGTAGACATAGTCATCCTGTAATAAATTACCATTACATCATGGAATCTGGTGTTAGTTTCTTTCTTAAAAAGGATCACCACACAGTAGGGTTCTGGTAGATAACCTGGTTACCTGGAGGTTACTTGGATAAGAACAAGCAAATTATATAAGATTTCTGGTCGGGGTGGTCATAAGTGTCTGGCATAATTAAAAGCATTAAATATTGAGGAATTAGACACATGTGCAACACCTGGGTATCTCTGCTTGAAAGACAGTTACCCAGGCGTTGCGCTGTATCGTTCTTCATCTTGTTGGTATTGTATACTGTTATGAGCATTAAATATTCTTTAGTTTGATAAACATATTACATCCTTCCTCTCCATTAGATTTGATTTCTTTGCTGTTGATTGATGCTCGTTTTAAGGATCTTGTCTGGGAATTTGATTTTTTTTGGTGAAACTCTTAAAATAATGGGAACATATATTGAGCTCCCTGCCATTTGTGTTTGAAACCCAGGCAAACTTGCCACCTTACTCATCACTAAGAACTGCTAAAACGAAGTGCTTTATTCAGCTTTGCCTTGACGTTTGTAAGAATGTAGATATATTTGAAATGTTTATCTGCAGACAGTGCTAGTTAACGCGGTTGCACCGGTACTTCAAAAAAAGAGACGTTTAAGATATAGTAAATAATTATTTGTCTGTTTTCTTAGTGGATTTGTGAAAAAGGAAATTTGTATTCTGTAGCTGTCAAAGGTTGCTAAAACGCACCTGTCGAGTGAAGTGACATTTTCCATTCTTTGTGCTTAATAGTGTACGTAGATAAAGTCAGTGGAAGCAAGTGAAAGTTTACCATATACTGAGAACTGCCTAAAAGGTGTAGCATAAACAACGGAGGAGAAAGCCCCGTGAAAGCTGGGTGAGCGGAAGCAGGTCGCGGCCGCTACTAGCGCCGTCATGGGCAACTCCGACAATGAGGTAAGTTATCTTGTTCATCTGGGTGAAAAACACACACTGATCGTCGTACAAATCCACACACGACTCTGCTTCCCAGCCACTGCGCATTGTTTTGGTCTCGGGGTCGAGAGTGAAATGCGTTGGATGAAAAGGTGGAAGCATATACTATACACAGTTTCAAAAGTAATTATGACCGGGTCCTAGAGGCCAGGAATTAGTAAAATAGGTCAGTAAGAGTTCAGAGGAGGGGCTTCTGAACTGAATCGACCTCTGCAAACACAGGTAACAACGTTTGTTGGAAAGTTGGGAATCTTTTTTGTCAAGTGATTTTTACATTGTCCTTATTTCTTTGAAAATCGGTGGTAGCAGGTAAATTGTAGTAACTTAACTGGTCCTCGTGTGCAACTAACCAGACATTTTACTGTGGCAACAATTTCCTTACTGCATTCTGAGATACTGCTCGTACGTTGGACTGCGTGCGGCCAGCAGTAACAGCCTAGTTGATCAGGCCCTGATCCATCGGGAGGCCTGGTCATGGACCGGGCCGCGGGGGCGTTGATCCCCGGAATAACCTCCAGGTAACCTCCAGGTACTGAGTACATCCTTTCCTAGTATCATATTATTACAAGCGTCCACACTTGAACAAGTACGTAAATGAATATAAAAATGTAGTTTAGAAAGCCCAGTGGCCCTTATAAGGCAGGTCCTAATTATACCCAATCACTTCCTCTTATATCTGTTCGTCCTGCTCTTAAAGCTGCCTCACCACTCCCCCCCCCCCCCTTAAAAAAAAAAAAGCTTAGTTACTCCCTACCTGATAGTTTGTTCCAGTTATCCACAACTCTGCCTTCCAAATCTTAGTTTATCCAACTTGAATTCACCGTATAGAGTGCTGACTTGTTTAAACATCTTTAACGATATTTAGTCATGTCCACTGCTGCACGCACGCACGCGCACGCACGCGCACGCACGTACACGCACGTACACGCACGTACACGCACGTACACGCACGTACACGCACGTACACGCACGTACACGCACGTACACGCACGTACACGCACGTACACGCACGTACACGCACGTACACGCACGTACACGCACGTACACGCACGTACACGCACGTACACGCACGTACACGCACGTACACGCACGTACACGCACGTACACGCACGTACACGCACGTACACGCACGTACACGCACGCACACGCACGTACACGCACGCACACGCACGCACACGCACACACGCACACACGCACACACGCACACACGCACACACACACACACACACACACACACACACACACACACACACACACACACACACACACACGCGCGCGCGCGGGCAGCGTACACAGTTGCTACAGGAGAGATAGGGGGGACATGATAACGACATACAAAATACTGAGAAATTGACAAGGTGGACAAAGACAGGATGTTCCAGAGATGGAACACAGTAACAAGGGGACACAGTTGGAAGTTGAAGACACAGATGAATCACAAGGATGTTAGGAAGCATTTCTTCAGCCACAGAGTAGTCAGGAAGTGGAATTGTTTGGGAAGCGATGTAGTGGAGGCAGGATCCATACATAGCTAGAGGCTAACTCCATACTAGGGATGTGCCAAAATTTCGGCATCGGCTGATTTTTATGGTATCGGTATCACTTTAAAATTGAATATCTGTATCGGCAAAAAAAAAAAAAAAGGATCATCCCATCTCTAGTCCATACATAGTTTCGGGAATATGCTTAGTAAAATACTGGGTGCTAGAAATCAGTACGTTTATTTCTTAGTTGTTAGGCAAGATTATTATTATAATCATTGGGGAACGCTAAACCCGTAGAATTATACAGCGCCTGTTGGGAGGGGGGGGGGAAGACATTCAGGCTCAGTTCAGGGAACAGGAACACAGATCCAATTCCTTAGATAAAGAGCCCCTCACCAGCGTCAAGGAACCTCCCTTGAGGGGAGTAAGGCAGCCCACCTCGTGCAGCAAGAGAGACGAGTAGGCATGGTACTGTTCTTGAGCTCTGATACAAGTGGAGGTGCTGCTGCTTAATTGCAGATTGAAAGGCAGGGCCAAGAGTTGCGAGTTATCCGGCAAACAACCCAGTACAATTTTTAAGTACTTGAATAATTGTAGGAATGTGTTTCTTCAGAAGACCCAAACAAATGAGAATAGGGAGGAAGCGAAGGGCAGGCGGCAATGGTCCTGGAAATAACAGGAAAGCAACAGGGCAGAGCAACCTTCCACGTGAGGTCACAGACCCTGAGCTGCTTTGGGGATTAGCGTGGACGGTTACAAAGCATGGCTTGCTTCTGCAGTGTTTTAAAAACTGAGTTTGGAGAGTTGAAGGAGGAGGTCTTGCTTCTCCAGGAGGAGATTAGGAGGCTGAAGGTCCACCTCAATGGGCCTGGGAGAGTGTGTGAGGTGGTTGGAGATGTGGGGAATGAGGCTTCTAGCAGTGAGGTGCAGTCTGTCTCTCACTGTGAGGAGGCTGTAGGTGGGGAGGTAGCAACGGGTACCAGCAGTGAGGTGCAGCCCAGCACCTGCTACAAGTGGCGAGTTGTTCACAGTAATGGGAGGCGCATCAGAGTAAGGAAAGTTAAGAGTGAAGATCTGAAGGTAGGAAATCGCTTCTCTGTTCTCCAGGATGAATGTACTTCAGTGGCCAGTGAAGGTAAGGGTACTAACTGCCCCTGCTAATGAAGGTAAGCGCATTCTTGTGGTTGGTGACTCTCAGGTAAGATATGTTGACCGTGCTTTTTGTAATAGGAATAAGAAGATGAGAGATAGAGTGTGCTTCCCTGGAGCTGGTGTTGGGGACATTGTCAACAGACTGGATAATATCATGTCAGGTAAATGGGAACAAGCCCATTATCTGTCTCAGTGCTGGTGGAAATGATATTGGAAGGGTAGGAGAGAAGAGCTTGCTAGATAAGTACAGGTCAGCTATAGATTTCATTAAGTCTAAGGGAGGGATCCCAATCATATGTAGCATCTTGCCTAGAAGGGGAGTAGGAAATGAATGGTTGTCTAGGGCAATTGGTGTAAATTGCTGGCTAGACAGATACTGCAAGGAACTTGCAATCCCATTCATTGACAACTGGAACAACTTTTATGGCAAACATGATATGTATGCAAGGGATGGGGTTCATCTCTCTGGGCAGGGGTGGTAGCACTTGCAGACTCGATTGAGAAGGCCATTGGTGAAATGCTATGATTTTAAACTGATGGAAGATAGAGGTATGGGTGTGTGTGGGAAACAAGCAGGTTGCAACACTAGGGTTGGAAACAGTAAATGTATAAAAGGCATTCAGCATGAAGTTATAAATAAAGACAATAGAACAGGTCAGAAAACAAAGGGGGACAGCAGAGGCAGCAAGGGACTAGCTCCCTTAAGGTTTACTATACTAATAGCAGGAGTGTTAGAAATAAGATAGATGAGCTAAGATTAATTGCAAGTGCAGGAAACATAGATATTATTGCTATAACAGAGACCTGGCTCAATCTGAAAGATAGTGAGATGCCATCTGAATGTCACATACAAGGGCTATAAATTATTCCACACTGACAGGGTCAACAGGAAAGGTGGTGGAGTAGCGATGTATGTCAGAGACAATTTAAATTGTTGTGTTAGACAAGATATTAAATTAGAAGCGTCAGCCACTGAATCTGTTTGGTTACAGCTTCTCGAGGGCCGAGAAAAACTAATTTTGGGTGTGATTTACAGGGCCCCAAATCTTGATAGGGGGTGCAGTAAAACTTCTATGGGACGAAATTCGTAAGGCATCTACATACGAAAATGTTGTGCTAATGGGAGACTTCAACTATAGACAGATTGACTGGAGCAATTTGACAGGAAATTTAGAGTCGGGTGACTTTCTTGATACGATCCAGGATTGTTTTTTAAACAGTTTTGTGACAGAGCCAACTAGGGGAAATAACCTCCTTGACTTGGTTCTTGCCAGTAGGGAAACACTAATTAATAATCTTGAGGTTAATGATGAGCTTGGGGAGAGTGATCACAAATCACTCAGTTTTAACAATCATGGAATTCCCTAATAATGGCAATCAAGTCTCCGTCCCTGACTTTCGCTTGGCTGATTTCATAGGACTGAAAAATTACTTAGGTGGGCTGAACTGGAATGACCTGACTAGGGGTTCAGGTAGGTGGTGATGGTTGCCGATATGATGCTTTCCAGGGCATAGTTCTAGCTGCTCAGTCAAATTATGTTCCAAATAGGGAAATCAGATCAAACAAAAAATGATCCTAAATGGATGAACAATAGATTAAAATATCTGATTGGTCAAAAGAAGAGGCATATATAGGCAAATCAAAAGAGGAGAGGGGCAATTAAAGAAATCGATATATTCAGTTAAAGAGAGAAATAAAAAGGGAATTAGAAAAGCAAAAAGAGATTATGAGGTTAAAGTTGCAAGAGAATCGAAGACTAACCCAAAAGGATTCTTTCAGGTATACAGAAGTAAGATCAGGACAAGATAGGCCCACTCAAAAGTTCCTCGGGTCAGCTCACTGACAGTGATAAGGAATGTGTAGAATTTTTAACACATACTTCCTCTCAGTTTTTACACAGGAGGATACCAGTGATATTCCAAGTAATGATAAATATGTAGAACAGGACGATAATAAACTGTGCACTATTAGGGTCACAAGTGACATGGTCCTTAGGCAAATAGATAAATTAAAACCTAACAAATCCCCAGGCCCTGATGAACTGTATGCAAGGGTTCTAAAGGAATGTAAAGAGGAGCTTAGCACACCTTTGGCTAATCTTTTCAACATATCACTACAAACTGGCATGGTGCCAGATAAGTGGAAAATGGCAAATGTGATACCTATTTTCAAAGCAGGTGACAGGTCCTTAGCTTCGAACTATAGACCAATAAGCCTAACCTCCATAGTGGAAAATTTATGGAATCAATAATTGCGAGGCAGTTCGTAGCCACCTTGAAAAGCATAAATTAATCAACGAATCTCAGCATGGTTTTACAAAGGGA